CCGTACGGTACTTGAAATTGTTGTTGCAATTATTGTTTGGCCATTGAATCAGAAGTAATTCAAACTCCGCATTAGCTGATACAAATAAGTGCTGCTATTTAGTAGCAGAGAATGAGCTCGCATTAATTGGTAGTCATGTACATAGTAATCACCGAAGCAGCATAGAGGTACATTTCTTTATTAAACATCTAGCATGACTAAAAGGTATTAGGTGGACTTAACATAGCACCACCAAGCTGTAACATTGTTTGGGTGGTCAGGTAGGCTTCATGCAGTGTGTGTGTGTGTGTCTGAAGTGAGGGCTTTTAGCTCAGACTCAGGAAGGGCCCTTCCCACTCAGTGGGAGAGTAATTGATCACATACCCATTAGCTTTTTTTCTTCTTCAAAGTGGCTAAGAGCAAGACGTCTGCAGTCGGCTACGGCGATGGGAGGCAGAGGAGGGTGGTGGTGGGGGGGAGCAGGAAGGGAACCGGCGTGAATGAAAGGCCTCGAGGAAGAGCTGAAATCACTGAGATGTGCCACCGTGGTTGGAAACGGGTTGCCTCCGCACATCCTGTTCCACCAAACACTCGAGTTCATTAAATGGGCAGCAGAGAGCTCATTGTGGTGCCATCAGGGAGGTAATGGTTCTCCGGTAGGCATTTCCTGCCCATAAAACAAGAGGCCTCGCCTAATTCCTCCGGGGACTCCGGGTCTAGACCTCCTTGGAAGTTATTAACACTTGAAGTGTTTACCTTTATTGAATAATCTGGTGTGTAAAAAAAAAGTAAATAAACTTCCGCAACCTCCCCCCCCCCCCACGTTCCCCAACGAAGCAAGGGAAGGGATGATTTCGTCGCTCTGAAGATGGTAATCCCTCTAAAGCGCTCGCCCACAATGTCCGTAGCTCCTTACTCGGATCCCCTGCACGCAACTAGCTCCACTGCGCGCTAAATGCGTGCCGCCTACATGGCTGGGGTAAAAACCTGGCCCCAGGAGCCTTTGAAGTTTCTTCTTTATCCCTGTCGTGGATTTGTTTGAAAGAGTCCTGGAATGCTTTTCAGCACTTCGAGTTCAATCGGACCAGTCTTATCAGCTTAAATGAGTTTGCACCATTGCGGCGGGCAACTGCGGACAATCGCGTCCATGCTCACGACGTGTCATTTGCGATGTGAGGGATGCGAACACGGACATCGTTGAGAGAGAGGCGAGAGAGGCGAGAGAAGCGAGAGAAAAAGACGTTGTGATTACGTTCAACATGTTCAGGATTTGAGAGTCAAGTTTTATTTGCACAAGCTCCGAGGAAAGTAGAATGCGTTGCCAACTTATTTTGTTCAACCATGTGAAAAAATGCGCTATCAAAGTGTGAGAGGCCCCAAAAAGAAATACGTCATCTTCGTTCACTTGCTGTACACCAAACGTCCCTTCTCATTCGAGCAAGCGCAAAAAGGCCAGCTTAAATCTGTTGAACAAGATGCCTCTTATTGTTTTAAACGCTTTTATTATTCAGATTATTATTGTTTACGCGTGTGCGCTCTCCATAGAAATCAACTGGAAAAAAAAGATCCCCCAACAACGTGGATAAGCAATAAAGCTGATTTGCCAGAATTCAACTTAGTTGACATTTTTCTGCTTTATTTTTTCTCTCCTCCTCCTCCTCCTTCTTCTGCTTCTCATTGAAAGCAAGCGACTCTGGGGTTGTATTTCTAAGGAAACACCAAGAATGTAAAAACACACCTGCTTGCATGCGATGGGGTTCCAGTGCACCTCATAAAGCAGGCACAGTGTTGCTGGCCCCCTGGGATTAACTCTGGGACCTGTCAAGGATAATTCCTTGGTGGAAGATGCCAAGCCAGGCGTTTTGGTGTGAATGCTAAAAAATAAAAAATAAAATAAAAACGTGAAGGGAAAGGACGGTAAAGACCCCACTGGCTCTGTGCACAAAGTGAAATTACATTGTACTAAAGCCTTCCAAGAGGGCCCAGAAAAATGAATGAACACAGAGGAAGTGTTCAGAAAGCTGTAGAACATGTCCTGCAATTAAAACTAGACCGGTTTGGCATGAGTTTGGATTGCATTCATATTTTCTTAAAGAGAGGGAGGGGAGAATGTAAGCACGTCTCTTTCCTTCTATAAATAATCTACAGTTTCTCGATTCAGAGATGTGAGGTGGTCAGTGTATGTTTTATGACGTACGATTTATTAATGACTGCTGAAACAGCAGATAGAGCCTGCCAGTGTTTTGCCGATACGCATGTAAGAATTTTGCGGGAGATTTCAATGTTGTGTAGTCGGAGCAGTAATTATAATAAATACAATTCACAGCTTAAACTAATTATGCTTTCATTCTTAATTAGCCTAGCTATGAAAACACTTCAAGTCACACGCTTTTCAAAATATAAAATGATTTATGAGTCTGGTTTTAGAGGTCGGGGGAAAAAAAGCTAGGGATTAAACAGTTTTGGAAGAAACCCATTTTTTATACGGACAATGTTTGAGAAGGGATAGCCTTATTTTACAAAACGTAAGCTTCGGCGAATGTGTATTTCCACCGCATATTTGTAATACTGTATGTAACATCATACAGCCGTACAAGCGCTCGCATGCACCGACCCATTTAATTGTTAATAAAAACATTAAATTCTTGCCCATTTGGTTACTATATTATAAAATTATAACGCAGCATTCCTTCTTTGTATTAAACCCATTGCACAGACTAATAGGTTTGGACAAGTGGCTTCTGGTTTCAGGCCAAGTTGAACGAGATGAGTGTGGGCTTACGGAGGGAGGGAGAGTAGCCACAGCAGGCAACGGGCCCAGTTCGTGGGGAACTCGTGAAGTTTGGGTCACAGGCGTTTTGCTCGTTCAACACCTGAAATGCAAAGCTGGCGGGGGAGTAAGACGAAGCCAGAAGATGAACCGCCGCCGCGTCTTTTCACGAATAAAACGTAAACATTAATGCCCGGTTTTATTATTTCCATCGCGTGTTTTCTTAGAGAGAAAATCGGGTTGGTTTTTTTCTGGAGCACGCTGTCATATTTTGTTTCGAGTCGGCGAACCGCCATGGAACTGCATGGTGACTGTTAGAAAAGTTATTTGAGCACTGTATTGTGTTTACATATCTCTTCTTGTTTCTTTCGGTAAAGTCACGTAGAAGGAAAATAATAAAATAATAAAAATAAAACCTAATAAAATTATTCTCACGACGTTTCGGCCACAATGCAAGCAGCCGTCTTCAGGTGGAGAACTTGACAGATCAGTCACGAAAACTTTAAATGTGTAAGACGCGGCAACGTTATAATTTCCAAAGTCTACTCGTTACAGATGTTTGTCAATCCGCTGCTCGATGAAGGCTTCGCCGTGCTATCAGTCATGGACGTTGTTCGACCATACTTCACCAGCCTGGTCAGTGCGTGTTGGTGAAGGGGGTGCACAATGCTTACTGCAGATGCCCATCGACCCTGGTGGTCGTCGTGGCCAGGAGCCGAACTCAGCTCATAGGTTCTAGATTAGAAGCTTTCGTGACTGCAAGTATTCATATTCTTAGGTTTTTTCGGTAAAGTCACGTAGGTAAAAATTTAAAATTAGAACTAATAAAAGTAAAATAAAAATAAAATAAAAATCACGACGTTTCGGAGGCAATACAAGCTTCCGTCTTTCAGGTGGAACCGTCACAGCACGATAGCTGTATCAAGTAAATGAGGGATTTCAAGATATACCAGAGCATTGTCCTTAACCCCGGCACCTCCGATTAGCACGGTTGGCTACGTACGGCGCGAAAGAAGTTCAACACACACACACACGTACGTAAGCACTGCGCCAGCCCACTGTGACATCAGCTAAATGTGTACAAAATATATTTAGCGACAACGATGAAAAAATAGCAATTTTATTAAATGCGTTATAACGACCCGCCTTCATTAAGACCTTGCTTTTTTCTTTTTCAGGCTTCTTTTTAGTTTGTTTTTGTTCAATATGAGAAGAAGAAAAAACTTGCCGCCCAAATGTGGAAAATGCAGCAGTCTAATCGTACACAGAGCTGGCTTTGTTCTTTGTGTTGTTGGTTTTAAATGAGAAGTGAAATATATCCAATGGCTTCAGTTGTTTGCTTTGAACGTCACGGACACAGAACTTGCACCGGGATAATTGTTAAATTGCGATTTGAAAATGCAACGACTTCACACTAAATGATTTAAGCTGAACATTGTTGTTTGCCCAAATAGTTACGCGGTTATAACCGAAAGTATTTTAAACATTTCGGTTAAATGTTATCTTGATTTGGAGCTGTTTCATTCATTCAGCGTCTCCCTAATATTCCCATATGACCTCAACCTGCTGAACGCGATACAAATCAGTGAGCGATGCATGTTATAGGCATGCAGTGGAAACAAGACTAACGTGGAAAAAAAAACTACGTAAAGCCACAGTCCTGCAATTGCTCCCTCCCGCCTCTGCTGATGGCGGGGGTCTCCACTCGAATCAGAATATTTATTAATAGCGGAGAAATCCTATGAGCTGTAAAGCTCTTTAATCACAGATGTCCAGGGAGTTGTAGAGAGAGAGAGCTCCTTCCAGGGGGCGTTTCTCGCCTACGCTCCCTGCGTTGGCACGGTGGGAGAGCGCACGCTGAATCCCGCTGCATCCCGCTGCACGCAAACTGCCTATCGGACTAAGGGACCGTCCATAAATGACGTCACGCACCTAGGGGGGGGGGGTGTCAGACATTTGTGACGATGTGTGACGAGAGGGGAGGGCGGCGGTTTGAGAAATGTGACGTCACATCAAAATGCGCAACTTTTAATAAATTTGGAATTGTTATAACAACACTCCTACAACATCAGAGTGCAGCGCCACATTAAATACTTAAATACGCACTACAATGACAATAGTTTAAAGCGATTTGAAGCATGTTTTATTTTCAAAATGGAAATATTGTTTTGCGGGGGGGTGGGCAGAGCTTTGTGACGTCATATGTGAGAGGGGGGGTCTGACTTTTTGTGACGCCGTGTAACGAGGGGGGGGGGGCGGTCAAAAATCGTTCAAAATCGCGTGACGTCATTTATGGACGGCCCCTAAACCGCGGTGAACCCGTTTATACCACTGGGTGGACATCAGCGAGACGGGGGGGGGGGGGGAGAGAGGGGGTGGGATGAGTTTAAAAAAATAAATTGCACCATTGTTTCAACTACCGCTTTGGGCAAGATGTCCATTATTAAGTGGACGTGGGACTATGTAGAAAACATAAAGTGTGAACCCCGAATAAAATCGCAGGTTTTTTTTACGTCCGTGTTTTTGCCACGAAAAAAAAAATCACGACGACTTTGCCACGTCACCGCGATGATTGTTTGAACTTGTTTAATTGCATTCACTGCTCACCGCAATGCGAAATGGAGATATAATAAGTGTGATGGCATGGGATTAGGAAGAAAAAAAAAACAGGATGGAAATCGATGGTTCGTGAAGAGGGCAGCACACAGGGAAACATCACAAAGATTTGTTTTTTTCATCATCGTCGCCCTAGATCACATCTCTTCTTGGCACTGAACGAGCCCTCCGTGTAGATTATTGCAGGGGTGGATGAGAGGGGGCATCGGAGTGCAAATGATGTGGTGATCTATCCGTTCAAGACCAGTATTATTCAAAATCAAGGTGTCTTGGGTTAGATTCGTAAATATATACGTGTCGTTAACCCACCACCACCCAACACAGCCAATTAGTAACGGTTTGACTTGTTCACAATTCTGGAAAATCGCCTGATGAAGCTGGTTGTAATCACCATGCGAAACATCGAACTCAAATTGTAAATGTTGTGGGTGTACTCTTAAACACATGCACCGGTGCGCTGAAGTAGCAACCAATTTTCTTACTAATTGCCCGTGTCATGTGGTGGTGGGTTAACGACACATTCATATTTACGCAACCTCAAACCCCCCCTCCCAAAAAAACCTTTATTTACGGGTGATATATCCCTCTGCACCTTTACTTCTGCATCTACAACTCCTGCCCTTGACGAAACAATGATAAGTTAACGTCTCTCTTCGCCGTATAGAGTGATGGCATTCGCCAACAGAGGTCCCGTGCTGTTTGCGCCAAATGATAACGCGCTTTCAAGAACGTACCTCGTAAAATGTTTCCCATATCGACTGTAGACACGGATCAGAGTGAAGATGCCATCTTCATTCATCCTCTGTATAATTTAAGCCTGCTTATTTAAATCTTGATTATATTACACCTGAGGTCGTTTTACCATTTGCAAAAAATAGCATCAACTAATTCGCAGTTACTCGTAGCTCTCCTCTGTGTTTTCAGGCTAACCATGGTGCTGTTCGGCATTATGTCCTAGCGTCTCGCTCCACGTTCTGGGAGAATCGTCAAGAATTAAAATTCTGAGGCTCAGGTCCGGTGCGGAAATTACTAACGCACCAAATGTTAGCCATGACCGGGAATTGAACTCAGGTCACCTGGATTCATAACCCAAGCGTGCCATTAAGTGGGCCGTTGTTTGAACCACACTGAGATAATTTCGTTATAATAAACACAGAGTACGCTAATGTAACTCGTAAACAAAATATCAAGTCGTTTAATGGTTACATTTTGGGAGCTACTTTAGCTACTGTATTCTGCAGAAGAATTCCTCTAAAATTTAGCAATCTTTGGAATAACGTAATCAACCAGGTAGGGTGTTGACTGTTGTGTTAACCGATTCTCTGTGTTTTATTGCATTGTATTTCTAAGTTTACTAGGTTTGCTTTCTACCCCATGACGATTGCTTGTGTTGCATTCGAAATGTCGTATTCTATTATTTAATTTATTTTCTTTCTACGCGACTTCAGCGAAAGAACCAAAGAGTAATTCCTGCAGTCACGAAAACTTCAAATCGAGTTCTGCAGAAGAAGAAGATGCTACCGGCAGGCACATAGAGCAAAGCATCCAGACATTGTGCCAAACAACACGAGAGAGCTGAGCAGCTCATCCGTGAAGATCTAGCAGACTTTTGAAAGCTACTCGATGTGGTTAGTGGACTGGCTGGTTATCTTATGCATACAATGTTTTTTGTTGTTGTTGCCGTAACCTCAGGTTTATTTAAATGTTTGTATCTGTCTCATCAGCTTGTGTGCACCCTTCTGTTTGGAACACCTCCCAGTTTTGGCAAACTAGCATATCCACTCTTTAAACAAACAAACAAAAGTCGTAATTAACAAATAAGTTACAGGAAATTAAAATCTCGGGGTGTTTTTTTTTCATCTGCAAAATTTGCGTAAATATAAAACAGATCAATTACTACGGATAGCAACTTTTTTATATAATATATTTATAAATGATTTCTTACTCTAACAATGGTTTAAAAAATCTTAAATAAGAAATCACAAGACTGTTTATTTTTTTGTACAGTTGTTTTTTTGTTTCCATTCGTTGAGCATGAAGAGCTTCAGGTGAGTATTGTCAAAGATGTTGCCTTGTGAGTGTGCATTGGTCTACATCGTGGCGTGTGGAGTCGTGTAGCTTTGTGATACGTCAATTAAAATTATACGAGTGCATTTTTAAAAAAGGAATGTAATATACCATGTATACAAAACGCATTCTGGGAAAAAAATATAAATGGCCACCTCTATTACATAAAGCATAATACATGTCAATCCACAGAAATCCACATTATGTACAACTCAAAGGACAAACATGAAACAGTGCATTAAATCAAATTACATGTGCATTTTGTCTACATTACAGCCCAGAATTGAGCCATTTATTAAATTATATTTTACGGACTGATTGTGTTTTTTTTTGTCTCTGCCCACCTTATTATTTAATCTTCTACATTTGTTACCATTCCAGCACAACAACAGCAACAACAACAAAAAGTTATATTGTTATAAACAGAAAATAAATAGTCTATAACAGCAAAGAGAACTATTGCATGTATTAAAGTAATAATTTCTATATGTCGACAATATATAAACACTGTTTATAACACCGCGTGTATCAAATGCACTGATAAAACACAGAAACGTCTTTAGGTCACTCTACAATTAGCTGTAACATAACGAAACACATCGGCCAGAGGTCCACCGAACATGGGCAAATTGTGGAGGCGCTCAAAATATCTGCACTTGCTGATGAGTTTCGCTATTGTACGGTGGTGTTGTAAAGTGTTTAAAAGAGAGGGCCTTCCATGTAGTTTTAAGTGTACCAGCAGTATTTTTTTAATGCTGTGTTTTATACAGTTACTGTAATGTTTGTCAAAATAATAATCTACATACACTTATTATTGCTAATGTACTGGACAACTGGACGTCAACTTTAAAATTTGCGTTCTGTGTGATATTTTTTGTTGTTAAAGCAAGGTACGATTTACTTTCAACCAGATCCATTGTTTTTTTTTTCAGTGTAGTTTAATGTTAACAACATAAAAATAACCGCAGTTAGGACACTGCTGGGCCATGTGCTGTGTTGCAGCCTGCAAAAAAAAACATAACGCAGGGTTTTTTTCTCTCTCTCAAAACAAGATTTTTCTTCGTGAAACACAGGCGACGTTGTGGCAATTGCCACTAGCAATCAAACATTGATTCCTTGGCAAATGTTGAGGGTCCATTCACTGAGCTCATTGTCCAGTCTTCCCAGTGTGCACAATCACCAACCCACCAGAAACAAAATAATAAAATTACCCACAATTTTTTTTCTCTCCTTCTGCCAACTTGCGCGGAGATGCACGCAAGGCTCCCCCCCTCTCCCCTCCTCTTGCTCTCTTTACAGACAGATAATAACATGCCATGGCTCCAGGCTATAAACAAAGTTAAACAGTATTTAGGCTTGCTCGTAAGGCATGGCGTGCCAGCCAGCCCAACTTCCCCACACCACCCCCCTTGTCCTCAGCAGCTGCTGTCCAAAGGACTCCGCATAGGCAATGCCAGCCTTATCTCCGCAGCATTTGCTCTTTGCCGATGGTCCCGTCTCAGTAAAGTCGGTCCACTGTTTAAACAGGTGGCTGTAAGAAAGAACCGCGCACACGACGTTTAACTCCTTCCGCGAATTTCGGGGGGGGGGGGGGGTGGAGACGGACGGACGGTCCTTTTTCTTTCCATAAAATATTTCCACAATTGGAAAATCATCTGTGCAAGCAGCGCGCGCGTGGATGCGCGATGCCTTACGTTTTTTTTCGTCAATCGTTTGTCACTTTCCTTCCAAGCGGGTGGGTTTTCCTTGCAATGGGTTCCGTCGAGTTGCGTTTTTGTCAATAGTTTAAACGAAAAAAACAAAACTTTGCCTACGCACAGACTTTTAAGTGAGCTCCGTTTATCAAATATACATCAATGTCTGTCAGTAGCTACCCTTAGTGCTACAGTATCCACAGCAAATGAACCCAACATACTTGCTGTAGGATACCACCACACTTCAAGAATGTCTTATACTTTTAAATTTCAGTCGTTCGATGACATGACTGGAGCTGGCGTGTGGTGAACCATAACAGAAGCTGCCTTTCCTTCCACAAAACAGATTACGCGCAAACGTGTGACGTCAAGTCACTGTCCGTCACCGGAGTCTGCTGGCTCTTTCAATGGTTTCTTTCGCGCTACCTGCAACCGCAAGACTCCACGACCATGTCCTCGTACTGCTTGTAGACAACATTGTTGCCCGAGTCAATGTAGAGTATGCTAATGGGGCTCAGCTTGGTCGGCACGCAACAGCTTGGCGGTGTCGAGTCGGGATTCATGGAGTTCATCAGCGTTTGGATGATCGCGTGGTTTGTGGGCTCGAGGTGCGAACGCAGGGGGAAATCGCAAACGCCCTCGCAGTGGTACGCTTCGTAATCTAGCGGAGCGATGATCCAATCGTCCCAGCCCAGCTCCTTGAAGTTAACGTGCAGCGGCTTCTTACTGCACCGAGACTTCGATTTCTTGTTATGTCCCTTGCCGCCAGGACGATTGGCCAGGGGTGTCCTTTTTCTGCGGTACTGTGGATCAGAGTCAGCTGGATCAATTTCCCCTTTACGTAATTTCTGGGAAGCTTTGCCGCGGGGCAGTGACCCAGCCTTGCCCCCGCTTTGCTTTGGCGCCCGGCCTTTAGCTTGATCACTGTCCGCTCTGCCGCCAATCTTCTTATTTAACTGATGACGATGTCCAGATTTTAGGGACACTTCTTCGCTTTCATCTTTCTTTCGAGTTCTGCCCATGACGTCCACAGCTCCTCTGATTTTCTCGTGCGAATCGCCGTCCCCTCCGCCGTGCGACGCCTTCCCTTTGTCGATGATCTCGTTGAAGAGGTTGCCCCGCTTGTGCGCCCGGCTGGAGATGACCATGAGCGCCTTCTCCTGAGGTCCGGCGCCCCTTCCGGGAAAAGCCGACGTAGCGCCCCTCCGTGACGATCCGCGAGTTCTCCGAAGACACCTCCAGGTCGAGGCACAGCGACGTGACGGACGAGTCGTTGTACACTCTCTCCACGGCGGCCTTCACGTCGAACACCTCCCAGCTGGGCAGCTTCTTGTCGAGGAGGTCGACGGCGCGAGAGTCGAGCAGCATCTCGCGGGCACGGGAGGTGGTGGGGCACAGGAAGAGCTTGAGGGACACGAGGTTACCCATGCGGGAGGTTCTCTGCGGCTCCTCGGGTGCTCTCCGGAGGACTCGGAATTCAGAGCTAATCAGGTCGTCCTGTCGGGACAGCGTTGTAAGATCAAAGGAATACCTCTGTCTACGTACCGAGCTCCCATCTGAAAAGACATTCGAAACAACAAGGCGTTACTTAACGATAGCGAGAAATGTCTAATTGGTAGCGTTAATCCGAACGCGTTGTTTTTGCTCGATGTGCGTGCGTGTCATCTGTGGGTTGTGTGTGTGTGTGTGTTCGGTGCATGGTTTGGTGCATTGTTTTGTGGACTCGTTGCTTTGTTCGTGCTTTGCAGATGCAATTAGGCCTGTGCTTCGATCGAGTAAGAGTTCTGCTTTATCAGATTTGTCCTGTGCGCATATCAGCGAACTCGAGAAACATGGCAAGCAATGGAGATGCAGATACAGGGAATGTGTTATCTAGGTTTTTTCCGTTGAGGACAAGTGTCTCTACGGTTAATGTTCATGCGTTTTATGAAATGAACATTGCATATGCAATGAATTATATGGAGCTACATACCTCGCTGTGCAACATATATGTGTATGCGTCTCTTTTTAAAATGCCCTGCTTTCTCTTTAATGCATTATTTTAGCTGGGCAATTATAATAGGCCTGTGGGTTGTTCCATGCCTATATTTACTTAAAGGGGGTTATTAAAATTCCACATGCAATACATCAAAAATATCGTAAATGCGTTGTACGTTTTAATGCATTTCAATGAAAACATCATGCCAAATGGTGCATTATAGAAATGGCTATTTGAAATAAACTCATGAATCCACAGTAGCGTATTCATCGAATGCAAGCGCTGCGAGGCAATGATTATATCCTGCACTTTGATGCTCAAGGCAATTGTTGGACGTGGTCACGATAATGTAAATAGTAAATCCTACTTAACCATTACAGTATAAAACATGCAAGTGGTTATAGTGTATACTATGTGAGGCCATATAAATACAGACACGTGGAGAGATTACGTATGAAATGGCACGTGGCATATGTATTCCGTTTGCTTAAACGAAAACTCGAGCCGTCAAAAAACTGCACGTACGAAATATAATATGCTCTTTGCCCCGCTCATATAATCTAGTGATTTGCTAAACACGAGTGACTTTTCGCCGTTTGTTAATCCTCTGCTGAAAGAAAGCCTCGTCCCCATGTATTGGTGAAGAGTCTCGTTTGACCATACTTCATCACGCGAGTCAATGTGTGTGGATTAACTGGACCGGTTTAGCTATCACTCGGCCACCGCTATTAGCCGTACGTATTTTGGAATCGAACTCAGTTAGGACGGGTTCGTGAGCACGGTGGGGCTAACCACTGCACCACCGCTCGCTTATACGTCACAAGAAGCTTCGCAGTGGGTTAAATGTGAGAGCAACGGGCCGAGAATATGCAAGACTGAGAGGCGGAACACGTGTTAATAGTTTATTTTTATATATAAAGGTGAATTAAGGGAAAGTCTTTTGGAAATAAATTATAAATACTGGATTTTAGCGTAAGCGGAAATCAGGTATGAATTGTTCGCATGCCCTGCTCATGCCCTGATTATGTCTTATCGATTGCTCGTGTATACAACATATTATTACTCACGCATCATTGTTTTCAACGTACTACACGTAGTCGCATCTTAAGGGCATATTTACCGAAATGAATCATTTACAGAAATTATTACGGGGGGGGGCTATTTCAAAAAAAATCCGACACTTGCAAGACGTAGTCGTAACGTGGTAACTTACTGAACGCGTTGCTTGACAACAGTATACATCTACCGAGTATATTGTGTAGGCATATATCGTGCGGACCAATAGTGTTGATTCCGCAATGGTGTTTAGTGCAAACGAATTCGAAAATGTAATTTTGCATTTTGCTCCAACATCTATTAATCACGAGCTCAAAGAATAGCAACTTTAGTATGAACCGACATGAATATCTTATACAGTCCACATGACACACTGGGTTTTGTTTGGTTTAAAGCGATAATGGCAATGCTGCGATGTATATTGAAAATGTTCAGTCTAAAGTAAACAGCCATACATATTAGAATTCTCATGAACTCCTCTAACGCGCGTCTATTGCGAGTGTGTGGTGGGAATCACCGAATATAATCGCCGTCACGTTCATTCGTCAGGAAACAATGGCAAATCGGTAACGGATTGATTTGCGATCGGTTTGTGTTGTTATTATTGTTGTTGTTGTCGTTTCAATACACGGCACATACGCGCAAATTTAAGTCTGCGCACAAATACAAATAAACAAGATAAAAATGCGCGTCCCGGTTATTACTTATTTGTTTGCGTATTTCTTCATTAACGGGCGTGCAGTTTACCTCGCCAGATAATTCCGCATTCCGAAATAAATGGCATCAGATTAGAGCGCATCCGTTGATAAGCGAACGTCGTCGGAGCAGTTCGTCAGATGATGTTCATGATTCGACACCCACCTAGCACGACATTCGCGTGTTGTTAGCTTGCGAGCGAGCGAGAGAGACGCGCGCCAAAAAGGGAGAGTTTTAGGGAAACGCGATGTTTGTTGCAAGATTACGGCAAAACAATTATTTGCCGGAATTTCGTTGGAACAAAAAAAAAAATCGGGCAAATTGTAGGACAAAGACAAAGGTCCCCCCCCGTGTAGCCTTGACATACTGTTGGGGCAAGTGCTCTGAGAGAGCACCTATGAAGGCCGGCACGGCACCACGCCCGACCGCCTTTGTCTCCCCAGTGAGCGATGCTGACACATCACACCAGGTACTCGGTTGTGGCTGAGTCGACCTCGGGAGGCCCATGACCGGTTCAGAGATTCGTAACCGGTGTTGGCCGTGAGCGGGAATCGAACTCGAATCGCCGGGTTCGTAGCGCAGCGCGCTAACCGCTACACCACCGCTCCCCAAGAGTACACACGCACACACGAGACAGAGATGATGATGGTGGTGATGCTGCTTACGCCATCCCTTTCCCACACAAGATGAGTGGGAGATAGCTCGTGACTGATAAGCGCCTCTGCTCCCAAGGAAATAAAACGACCGTCGTCGAAACCGACGTGAACTCTAACTTACGCGCATAAAAGGATGCATTTACATACGATACACGCACAGCCTGATCGAATACATCTTTTTTTTCTTCTGGGGAAGGTTGGCTGTTGTCTCTTTTAGTTAAACGAACGACGTCTAAATAACAGTGTCTTGCAACTCCGCAGCTCTGGGAGTGAGCAGATGTATGTATGTTTATATACTGTATCGTAGTAAGTAAGCTCTCTCGCACACACGCGCGCGCACAAAATAACCCGTTCGCGAGACGTTAAGAAATAACAATTTTAAACGCACAACGGAATAGTGCAAAAATCCGACGCTAAATTCGCGCTCCGAGGTTTGTTCGCGGTGTTCAAAAGCGTGACTCGGGCAAACGGATTCTCGTTGATGGTGCTATGCAATGTTTGACACTATGATGATGGCGTTGTGATTAACGCACCCCGCGCGGAACGCTTTATCGCCGCTCGCGTTTAGGTTTCGTTTTCAAGGATACATCCGATCGTAATGTACGCTCAGCCTTAAAGACGCAATGTCAATTGAACCATATACGTTAATGTTTCAAAACGCAGACGCACATAATGCTTGTGTGTGCGTGTGTGTGTGCTTGAAGTCAACATGCACACACACTGGACGAAACAGATACAAATGCTGCTGCTGCTGCTGGTGAAATAATTCCAGAAGGCCAATAACAATAATTAGGTCAATGGACTAAAACACAACAAATGTATTTGACGTGCTGACAGAACGAAGGTGGATTGCCTCGGTGTGCTTGCGCGCCTTACGAGATGTTTACGAGTTGTTTAACGCACACACATCGCAGTAAATTGCCGCATCTATTGAGCCCGAAGAGCCAGCGTAGATTTCAACACACGATGAAACATAAACATAGGCGCAGATTTTCGCGCGTTAGCTTGAAATTCAGCAATAACCTCTTGAAACAACAACAAAAAACCCCCACATATTTCAGCTGCAACGATGCTATATGTCATCGCTGGAATCATCCGCAACAGAAAACAGTTACTCCGGACCACGTGAACAGAATTGGACAGTGTTTAATTTAGTGCTAAGCACTGAAGCAATGTGTCAGTGAATGTATCTAGAGTATGGATTCCTGCAGTCACGAAAGCTTCAAATCAAGATTGAATGTATCTTCAATTGCTCTCCCGCTCTCTTTGAACGAACTTTATGGACCAGCGGTTGTGACAGGTTCCCACATCGGACGTACGCAAGGGGTGATCTTGCCATTAACGCATCGTGGCGGTGGTGGTGGCGGCAACCCATCAGCATTTGTAGAAACAAGCCTCGCTCTTGCTGATGAGACTCAGTAGACCGAAACCATTCCAGACTGTTGAGTGCGCTGGCTTAAACAAACGCTTGCTGGCTAACGCGGGTCTGGGAAGTCAATAGGCTGACGGACTAATCATATTTGTTTTATTTATTTGGAGACACATCACTGATTTCCGCTTAAATATGTGCTATATAGCGGGTTAACCATTGGCAGATATCCCACTGCTTATAGTTACAATAAAAAGCGAAAGCAATAATTGTCTCCCAGTATTCTCAATAGGGATATTGATGAATAATGTAACAATCTCCGTGAGATTACAGAGGCATCGGATTTTCGCAGCGTGCAATCACCTGCTGCGAACGAAGCGAGGAGCCGGTTTGAAATAAGTTGGTGTATCTATAAATGGATCGCCCTGTTGCTGAACTATTTGCCGTAAACTTCAGACGCTGAAATGCCCCAACGCGCATCGTAGATGAGATTTTTTTTCTCTCATTCAAACTGTTATAATTTCTTTATTGATGCTTTAATCGTTTTTTTTTATTTGTTTTATTAAGACTGGGGTTGTCGTTTTATACAGTGGTCACACGTCTCCCTTGATAGCAGATACAAAAAACATAAATATATGTATATATAGGCGTCTGGTCTCAATGGGCTCCTGTACGTGCGCAGTCATTTGTCAACCCGTTGCCGAATGGAAGGCATCCCCAACACCGCGTCGGTCTAGCAGGGTTGTTTGACCACACTTCACGCTGATCAGAGCGTGGTAGCTAATGGACGGGGGCGGTGGG